GGTGGGGCAGGAGGTTACGGGGCTTCATGAACGGCTTCAGCGGCCGCTTTGTAAACGTCAGCATCCCCTGGATTACCGAAAACCGAGCGTAGCGGCAGCAGGCCTTTCCGAGCTTGTTTTCCTAGCAGCCGAAGGGTCTCTACATGCGTTCCATGCAAGTCTCATCAAAAGTTTCTCTCTCCCTGAGGCAAAACAGAACGAAAAAAAAAAAAATTGTTTTCTCATGATTTTGTCAAATGGAGGGGGATTAGCAGCGTGCCAGAAGAAGCTGCAGTAGCGTCATCATTAGCCGTGCCGGGCCAAATGAGGCAAAGTCTGAGGAAGCTGCGATATCCGCACTAAGCAGCTGATACAGCGGGGAGGAGAAGCCAAGCAAGAAGAAATAAACAGCTGCTGACTTGTGAGCCCTCTGATTCATGCCTGCAACGCCTTGCGCAACCTTCCAGCAGCAGCGAGACCCGCTCTGCCTCTCAGCTGTACCAGGGATGATGTTTAACTCCGGGAAGCCGTACGCTCAGCCTACCCAGCTGTAAATGCAACGCTCAAACCTGACTTTGTGCCCTGTGTATGCGTACTGAGATGGCAGCTGGCCCCCTGCCCCACGGGTTTGCCGGTGATGGGTGCTGGGCTCGGCCTCACGGGGGGGCAGAGCAGCCCCATGGCCGTGGCGGCGGCTGGAGGAGCTGGAAAACCCGCGCCCAGCATTTGAGTCAGAGTGTATTACACAAAAACATCCTGCGAGGAGGGAACGGAGGATGAATTCCAGACACTGACCTTAGACAACAAACAAAACCAGCTTTTTTTTTTTTCCTCTTGTTTTAGGGAAGAGGGGGAGGGAAGCTCTTCCACCGCAGACTGGACGCAGGCTGGGGATCAGGCTGGAACTTGGCATCGTCGGGCTGCCTGCCATCACTGCCATTTATTCCCGATGCAGTAAAAAAGAAAGATACGTGGTACTGTCGAAGGGCTCTGGGTTTACCCCCAGGAGCAGGCAAAGACCCTTCCACCCCCCCCAGATCTCCTGTCCGTGCTGTGACCACCTTCCCCACCCACCCTGCTGGGCAGAGGTGACTCCAGGCCGAGCAGCACAACCAAGAGCTGCGGTTACTCGCAGCGTTTCTGCCTGGAAACCAATGGCGAGCAGGAGACATGGAGAGCCAGCTTCTACAGGGGGGATACTTGTCCCCAAGGCCACAGATGCCTTCTGTGCGGAGCGGGACTGCCTGGCTGTGAAAGCTTCCTCCCCACCGCCAGTCCTCTGGGGCACGGTTGTGCTGTGAGCGCCTGCGTTCAGCTGGCTGTGGCTGCACCGCGCGTCGGCCTAATGAAAGAGCGGTCACCCTTCATCTCTGCCCAGACACTGGGGTTTCTTTCAGTGTTGGTAAAAAACAGGAAACTGGGTCATGGCATAGCCTGGCCGAGCGCTGACTCCTCCGCCTGCTACCGCCAAACCGAGGACGTTCACAAAGGCAGCTCTCTCCCAGCTGGGAGCGATCTGCTCCAGTAAACAGGGACGGCAACCGCACGCTGTCCAGCCCGTGCGAACATGTGCCGGCCAGGGCTTAGTGCTGCTCAGGGTGCGCCGTTTACATCACCAACGCGGCGTTAAGCATTGGGAATTTCTTCTTAGATGGGGTTTGTGGAGGTGTCTGAGGTGCAGCAAAGGAAAGCCTTGGTGCACAGGCGGCTTTTCTTTTTTTTTGAGGTATTCAGGTGCTTCAATCTCTTGAAAAAAAACCAAACCCACAGCCAGCACTTCTGCCTCTTGGAAAAGGCAGCAGAAATCTCCCAAATGCTAGAACCAGGGATCTGTTAACACAATGCAGCGACTGTGCTCAGCACTGACCTTTCGAGCCCAAATCCCACAGTATTTGGCTCTACAAAATGCTGGCTTTCAAATAGTCCTTCAGACAAGAAAAACTGCAAAGAGCAGAGCTCCGAGGAGAATGGAGAAGGTTTATTTTGTACCGGGTACCCTGCTCACTTCTGCCAGCGCCCCGGTTCCTGGGTTATGGAGGACTTTCCAAGGACTGTGGCCGGACACATCCTGCTGTGGAGGCGAGCAGTGTACACAGCCCCTCTGGAGCCGAGTGTCCCTGCTCTCTCTGCCTGCTGCAGTTAACCTCCGGCTTCCCGGAGCCTTCCCTTGCGTTTTCCCTCACGCTGGCCCCTTTCCCCCTCGCCTCCCCGGTGCTTTCCAGCTCATAATCTCTGATCTTTTTTGAAGTGGAAAGTAAATCAAGGCTAAGTGTCAGACTGTCTCATTTTGAAGACTGCTGCTCAAATAAAGGCTTTCCCATCCTATCGTAATAATGTCATTAAAGCACTGCCAGTAGAAATTTCTCACTCGGCAGCATATGCTGGGGAGGAGCTCAAGTGGGAAAGGCCCTAAGTAAACACGGAACGATGGAAAATTATGCAACTGTCCCAAATGGGCTAATTAAATTTGCAGTATCAAAGAACTGTTCTACCCTACCTGGTAACTGCAGGCAGTTCTGCAGGGTCAGGAGAAAAGCGGAGCGGGGGTGTGCGTTAAGTGCAGCATCATGAGCGGTGTGTAGGCAGAGGGAGGAAGATGGATGACCGCAGAATGGGCGGCAAAAAAGTCAAGTGGGCCCAGCTGATTTCCTCAGAAATTGTGCTGGGGAACGCTGGCACCCCGGGGACCTCCTGGCACCACAGCATCCTGGGGGTGAAGCATTCTGTGTCCACCCGCGAGCTTCCCTGCTCCTCGAGGGAGCCTCAAGGGAACTTCTCAGCCTGAAGATTTCCACTCATGGTGCTCACAAGTGCTGGAAGGATCTGGCGAACTGCTGAGCACATCCGAGAGGCTGCTCTCCTCCAGCTCCCGTTGCGGGGACTGCCTCTCCTTGCAGGTTCTCCGTGATCGATCCGGACTCCTGCCTGCCGCCAGACCCGGCTCTACGCACTTAGTGGGATTCACAGAACTCGAAAGGAATTGTAAAAAAACCTGCTCCTTTTCCAAACACTGCAAAGCTAAGGGTAAATATCATCATGGTAAATATTGTTTTATAATGGTCAATATTAGTTTTAAAAGGTTGTGTCTGGGGAACGCTGGATATGTGAATCCAATATTCCTTTGCTTCTTGTAAAACAGACTAATTGGCACTTGGGTATTTAGCTTTCTTGGCTAAATGGTTATGAATATCATTTTGGTTTTTTTACCTGATCACATAAGAATCATTGCGTAGACGACTGGCACTGGGACGCTCGCTTCGAAACTTGCCTCTCCCTTACTGCGACCCAGGTTTCCGTCGAAGGTTCTGACGAAGCCAGCCCTGCCCTTCGCTTTGAAACCAGACATGGGCTCCGCCTCAAATCACAGCTATTTCAGAAATGACACGGACTCCTCCGAAGAGCAGTCGTTTTCTTTGTTTGACGTCCATATTTTGGTGCCCGTGACAGTCGTTTCCATCATCCTGTTTTTCTTGGGAGTCTCTGGGAATTTGATAACGATAGTCATTTTCAGGCGCTCGCAGGAGATGAGTACGACAGTGAACATGTACCTGTCCAGCATGGCGCTGTGGGACATGCTGATTTTCCTTGGCCTGCCTTCCGACCTCTACCGCCTTTGGAAGTACAAGCCCTACATATTTGGGGATTTTCTCTGCAAGTTCTTCATTTACCTGAGCGAAACGTGCACGTACTGCACCATCCTGCACATCACCACGGTGAGCGTGGAGAGGTACTTTGCCATCTGCTTTCCCCTGAAAGCCATAGCGACCATCACCAAGTGCCGGGTAAAACGGGTCATCCTGGCGCTGTGGGGCTGCTCCCTCCTGACCGCCGGCCCCATCCTCTTCCTCTTCGGGGTGGAACACCCCAACAGCAGCCAGGAGAGCCGGGAGTGCAGGTCCATCGAGCGTGTGGCCCGCACGGGGCTGCTCGAGACGATGACTTGGGTCTCCACTATTTATTTCTTCCTGCCAATGCTCTGCTTGACTCTGCTGTACGGACTCATCTGCAGAAAGCTCCGGCAGAGCGGGCAGCGGCTGCCGGGCGGCCAGGCTGCGGGCAGGAGAAGGTCCCACACGCAGACTGCCAAAACGCTGGGTAAGAGTATTTTAGAAACCCAATCTGAAGAGCTGCCTGCTTTAATCACTCCCATGGGGCCTTACAGTGACACGGGGGATGATGGAGAGGAGGGACAAAAGCCACAGGGTTACACAGATTTAAAATCAATGGATTTATGCATAATTTGTGTTCCTGGCTCATTTCTAGAAAGAAGGGGAGTCCCCGACTGCATGGTATGCAGGTTAGGGATCTGACTGCACAGCAGGGAAGCAGATCAGCGTGGCTTTCCGTTGTTTTGAGATCACACTCCTCATGTCTCCCCCCTCCCCGCCCCCATCTCTGACTTTGTGGGATTAAATTAAAGAAGTTGGAAAACTCTGTGACCTAAAACCAGACCAGGCACTTCCCCTGCTGTGGCGAGTTAAGGTTTTAAAGCCATTTCCCCTGCAAAATTTCTCAAGCTTAGTGACTACAGCTTTGTTCAGGATGGGAACAGCCCACCTGTCTGCGCTTACTTGAACCTGATCTTTATCCTGTGCCAGCTGGTACCTGTCCCTTGGCGCAGACACCGGATTTTTCATGCCAGGAATGGGCAGTAGCCCTTAATTTAGGTACAGGCTGCTTTGCCCCAGGCTGATTTGATTCCTTTGTCTCCACTGGGCAACGTGGGTGTAGAACGCCCTATTTCAATGGCAAACAATTCTGTGTGCAACCTTAAGTCCCTGTTGCTTGAGATTCGCAGGAATCGTGGCCCAAAAGCAGCTGGGCAAGGCAGGAGGTTTTGTCTTTGCTGGGTTTAACTTCACAAGCTCACGTCTCTGTCCTTAAATAGTATAAAGAGGCAGAATAAACTCTGCTCGAGACGACTGAAGTGCGCTCTCTTCCTCTTTAGCCGTCGTAGTCTTGGCCTTTGTGCCGTGTTGGCTCCCGTTCCACGTTGGCCGAATCCTCTTTGCCCAGAGCGAAGTCATCCTGTATGACCTCACGCAGTACTTCAACCTCGTCGCCATGCTTCTCTTCTACCTCGGGGCTTCTGTAAACCCCATACTTTACAACATCATGTCACACAAATACAGGAAAGTGATGAGCAAAATCCTGCACCGCAAGCAAACTCGGCGTCGCAGGAGCCTGACCAGGAGCGAAAAGGTTTCTTCTGAAGGTAGAAAGCTCAGTTCTTTCACGTCAGCCGTTCAGCAGTGACTTAATTCTCACAACCCAAGCATTTTGCCAGCAGTATCATGGGTTAAAACCCAGGTAGATGGTGCACTTGGAGACTGGAAGTAGTATTGAGGCTGTCCTTTTGGCTACTCTGCGTTTCCTGTGACAGGTTTGGAGCGTTTCAGGAAGGCTGGAGTTGATTCGTGTTAGCCCTGTGCAGAGGGGCAGGCACGGGGAGGCTGGGCTCTTCTTTCAGGGAATTTACCAGCCACGCCGTCAGGCTGGACTGTCCACAAAGCTCCGCTGAAGGCATTTGTCTCTGTTTTTGAGGACCAGGCATCCTGTTTATCACAGACCTGTGAAACATAATTCAAGTTACTTTCTTCCCACAGAAGCCGAGAGAAAGTGGAGGTGAAAGCCAGGCCAACTGCTTGCTTTCAGCAAATAAGCGCAAGAAATACAATCTGAAAGGAAAGGGGTGAGAAATTGCTCACGTGGCGAGGCTACAAGGTGATCCCTGGGGAGGGACGCAGGAGCGGGAGGCATTTGTCCATCTCCCTGGTTGGTGAAACAGGCAAACGCCACGTCCAGGCCGCCAGTTTGCTGGCTGTCCCAGCACCCTCCTGACCTCAGGGACATGGGTTCAAAAAAAAAAAAAAAAATCGCACCGCTTGGTCCCCAGGCCGACGCAGCTCTTGGAAGAGGACAGTGTCACGCTAGAGTTCCCACAAATCACTTTTCTTGCAGAAAGATTTTTTTAAGACAGCTCTTAATGACACTTAGTAACAAGGCTTGAATGTGTTTCTTCACCTGAAACGACACTGCACAAATGACCGCTCCTGAATCAGATCAAAATCCAGAAAAAACACACACAACCCTCTGGTCAAATTTGAATACATTTGTATTATTTATTGGCTGTATTAAATATATTATCTATTTGATAGTTACAATTTAGTAATACAATGCATGGCAGCTTTAACATACGTTTGAGATACCTCAAAATTACAATACAAGAAAACTGAAGATACCCAATACATTAATGCCACTAGGGTACATCGTTCTGGAATGGACAACGGCTGACGTAAAATCTGTATTGCAGGAGGCTTGCACGGCTACGGTCTGGAAAAGCGAGTATTTTGTGGCAATGGCAAAAGAACTTGCTTTCACTTTTTAGGAGTCGTGACTTGTTAGTATTTGCTCTGCGATCCTAATTTATCTTTTAAAATTATCATCAGTGTTATTGCCAAATCAACCTCTACAAACATCGTTCTAAGAGTTAAAAGAAATAACCCTTTGGCAATAGAGATTTGCTGAAGGCCGTCTTATCTGCTAAAAGTAGACTATGAAGAGAAATAAAGACAGATTGTAAACTCTTCTGCAAACTAAAGACTAATATCTGTATAAAACTCTTTCCAACGCTGGAGGGAGAGATTTCTATGATATAATAAATGATTAACTTAAAGTTCTGCTACAAGTAGAACAATACATTCAAACATACATTTTCCAGGACTTTTAATCAAAATAAATAGAGTACAAAATGAAGAGTACATTTTGAAAAGATTAATTTCAGATTGCACCATAAATCTACTTTTAAGAGTATTAAGCGATACTATGTCATAATTTAGGTTTTCCACATCTGAAATACAACACAATGCCTCAAACTCTAACGCAACATTATTCATCAACTGCCATAGGAGAAAGACCCTTAAAGTGATTAATTACTGGAAATACTTAGCCTGTAGCACTATCACATCCAACATGCCACGTACAAGTGCATCGCTCCGATGTATATAAAGTGTAGCCGTAGTCTTTGCAAAATACGCTAAAATCTACCTTTCTATGGCATATTCCAAAAGCTGTCGGGAAGACCCACTCTGCAACACGTTCGAATTTGCGAGTTCCAGCTTTCAAAGTATTTGCTATAAAGACGACAGCCATCAGACTCCTCTTTAGGCATTCGCAAGCAGACTGAACCCGAGCAGTCGTATGTAGTGCACAGCGTCCACAAAACAAACAACCCCCCCGACAAACAGGACGAGTTTCAGAAAAGTTCATTGCAGGCTGAACATTCCCATCTAGAAAAAACAATGGAATGTGAAGCTGCTACCGCTGGGGTAGCAAGTCATTTAAAACATTGTATAAACGTTATCTAAAAAGAGTTCTTTCATGTACAATTTGATTATTCGGATTAAGTTAGAAGGGCATCCAAAAGCAGTTTGAACTTTTTATTTTTAGGTTAATAATAGTACAAAAACATTTGCTCAGTTTGAGCCAAATAGTGTAACATTTATCATAAATGCACTCTTTCTCCTTAAAGACAATACCTGTGCTTTTCTGAAAACACTGCAAAGATTTGATCAGAAGCACAGGAAATTACTTTTCTCTCAGGCACTGAGAGTGAAATGTGGATTGGGCCAACAGCTGCTCACCACCAGCAGAACGCATTTCATTCAGAAATGTACAATACGAAAGGGGCCTCTTCTGCAACGTGACGTACGAACGCCTTCGCCGTACGGACATTGCGTCCCGCTAACGTTTTGTCTAGCATTTTGATTCAAATTCTAAAAATGCTGGCACCCTCTGCTTTTTAACACTTGAAATGATTATTACTGAATCCGAAATATTAAAATAACTGTAAAGTAGCAATATCACTAAGTCAAAGTCAATATTCTGCTTTCCTCCTACAGTCTAGTAAATGTGGTATGCTCTAGTAATGTTCTGCAATACAGTTCTGCTCTAAGCTTAAGCATTTGTGCCGCTGTATGTCGTGTATACCAAACTACAATACCTGATTAAACACTGCGGATCGACTACCACTGCTCTAGTTGCACTTGGAAAGGACTCGTTCTAGCAAGGCCTTCTCTCTCTGCCCAGCCAAGGGGCCCCGCTTTGAATTCGGAGAGAGGAAGAGTGTGCACACACACACACACCAGTGTGCACCGTAAGGCAGTTTGTTTTTTTTTTTTTTTATTTGTGCTGTTTTATGAACAGCTAACCCTGATTACAGAGGACCCAGGATTACCCTTTCTACAAGAAATCTGTGTTCAGTATTTGGAAAGGATCTGCCAACCCAGCCTCACTGTTAGCCAGCAGCAAGAGCGGAAACGCATGTAACTATACATTTCCAGCTAGGATTTTAATTAGAACTAACCATAAATACCCGAAAGAGCTTCTGTACAAAAAGCTGAGTACTGAATAGGCTCTTGTCTACTTGATTACAAAGTACTGGATAACAACAGCAAATAAAATAGCAACCACTGCAAAGCCGCAGAGAAGAACGATAGCGATGAAGCGCTCTTCACGCAACGTCTTCTTAGTCTCCGCCAACTCCGTCGTCAAATCAGCACACGGTGGAACCAGCTCTTGTTTCTGAGATGAGAACACTGTACTGGGACTGTAGGGTCCATACAGTTCTTGCGATCCAGCAGAGTCTTGGGACTGACGGCCAGCGCAGACTCTGATCCGATATTCACAGTTTGTCTGCAAGCTCGTGAGACGGAAGGAAGTCTCTGGTCCCTTGTATACCTAGTCAGCAGCAGGGGAGAGAGAGAAAGAGAGAGCTTTACCTGGGATTCGATTTGTCTTACCAACAGCATGTAGTCAGCAGCAGGGGAGAGAGAGAAAGAGAGAGAGAGAACTGCTTTACCCAGGATTCGATTTCTCTTACCAACAGCACACGATGCTTTCTGAGCACAGGCAGTGCTGGATGCTGCCTGAAGTCGTTCTCTTCAAGCCAACTTAAATTCTTCAGAAAGAAAAGCTGAGATTTTATTACGATTCATTTTCTTGTGAATAATCCAAGGCTTCCTGCTATGCCCCCACACTGACAGACCTGGAATTTTGAAGCTCAGGAAAAAAAAACCAAACCACCAAACCAGGAATCTGGCTCTGTAGAGCTCCCCCGGTGAAGCGGGGCAGGTGCTGCCTATGACCAGTGAAGGTAGCGACGCCACAGACCATGGGATGTAAGAACCACAAGAGCCAAGGGAAAGGCGGGCAGAACAGGATCAAACAGCGTTAAGCCACTTCTAGGTAACCAGTTCTCCCAGTGACTCTCCAGCCTGCCTTCGCAGCCGTTTGCTTTTACAGCACAAGCAAAGGGTCAAGAGGGAACGGAAACTTTATGCTCTTTAATCTGGGGCAACCCTGGATGCCGTGAAGAGGCAGCAGGGCAGGACCCTATGCTGGAAGCCATCCTCACCCATCACAAACTTAAAGCCTCACCGAGAGGAACTGACCGAGACCGGGAATGAAGCCCCCTGGGAGCCGGGATGGTGACTCGAACCCCTTGCCGATGTGAAAGCATCCCCACCCCTAGCATCGCCAAACAGAATTTGAGCCTTCGAATACAGACATCTTTTTTCGCAATATTTGTTCAAAGTAAAAAAACCCTCAGGCTCATGATGGTAAATAAAGGTACCTGATCGAACTCTCTCCCGGCAGCAAGCTGAAGGATGTAAACAATGGAATCTCCTTTCATCGGCTGTAAAGGTTCCCATGTGATTTCGTAAGTGTTCTCTTCCAGCTGATTTGCTTTGGGTGCTAGAAAAAAAACAGTGATTTGTTGGCATTTTAGGAAAAAAAGAGAACAATGGCCTCTACAAATTGTTTTTTCAATTGGAAGAAAAGGGCCAAAATCACCCGTTACTGCAGAGACTCATTTGCACAGTTAATGTAGCAAACGGGCACTAGTTTCAGCGACAAGGAAGTTTTCTCCCTCTGGCTTAAAGCGGGCTTTGCTTTTGTACGTTTCCCATGGAAAATGTTTCAGTTCTAATGCAAGTGAGTGGGCAGTGTAACCCTAAAAGCTTAAGGTTTTCCCAATCTATTTGTTAACGACGTAGAGGTAACAGTCATTCAAATGATTTTAAGCAATTAGGATTTGTTTGTTTCTTTCTTTTTTTGCTATGTTTCATGACATAAGCTTAAGAAGGGATCATTGTAATATTTGTAGGTTACACTTGTCTGTCTTTTCAAGCTGACAAGATGAGCTTCTGACGCTTGATGCTTCTATGGGTGAGCAAGCACTTTCAAATCACTACAGAAAACGGCATTTATGGCCGCCTATCTCCAGAGCTGAAATTACACGTTATAAACACGGCTGACCCAACTGATTTTCCTGCACGTAATCAGCACTCTGATCTTCCGAATGATTTTTCCTCTAATGGCAATCTTCAATGTTCTTATCAGGAAGTGAAGATCAGAGGAAT